GATTAAGCCACAACCTATGAAGCAATCCACAGCCATTGCAGCATGAGTTCAATCCCCCACCAGGGAGCAAAGGGGGAGCAAACCACATGGTGCAGCAGACCTCTTCTGACTTGCCTGCTGCTCCCCTCAGCAGTGTATTTCTGTTGATTGCCTGTTCTGTTCCTCACTCTGTCTCTGGTGAAACCTCTCACCCCACCCCCACCCCCGCCACCCACACCTCTGGCCTGTAGCCCAGTTCTTGTATGCATAAATAAATCTTCTTTTAAAAAAATGATCTTATGTTTCAGTATGACAGAGTAAAATAACATGTGGTCCTTGGGACAGGGAGGACCTTGTCTTCAAAGTCGTCTCCCCTGCTAACTATATGACCTTAAACTCCAAAAGGTAGAGAATATGCCATCAAACTTGATACAGAAGATGATGTTTACTCCTTGTGAACCAACAAAGAGAATGAAAGGGTATGTGTGTGTGTGTGTGTGTGTGTGTGTGATCATGAGCAAGGTAAATAGAATTAATAGGGCTTTTTGTTAAACCACTAGTCTCTATGGTTATCACCTATGGCCTTGATCATGTTGATGCAAAATACATTTGGGAGCATGGGTGCAGGACACATGTGCCTGATTGTGGACACCTGGAACATGGGTGCGGGCATGCGTAAGTGTGCACACCTGAGTCTGGAGGGCAGGGATATAAGGGCAACATCACTCAGACTGAGGACAGCTACTGAAGTACGAGTGACTAAAGAGGCAAGACCATGAGAAAACTCCAGAGAGCCCTGGGAAAGAGTATATGGATTCATGGAGGACTGGAGACTGCCTGCCTGCCTCCCAGCACCACCCCCAGGCCCCCAGCCCAGGCCTGCCTCCTTGCATGCCAGCCTCCCTGCTTGGTGTGCCTGTGTGCCTGGTTCCCTGAGAGCATTAAAGCCTGAAAAATCCACTAAGGGCTCCAGGACTCTCCTTTATCCATCTGCCCAAATCCATAGTGAACCTGCCCTGTGCTTGCTGGCACAGTATCAGTTCATATAAGCTAGATAAAAACACACAGGAGACAGTCATTTTTTAAGGAATTGTCACTGCAGTGGACCAATTGCAAGAGTATAACTGAAAATGGCTCACAATTTCTTGCTAATCATGCCCAGGTGTTTTGTGTTACTCAAATCCAGCATCCTTGAGCACTTCACAGTTAGTTTCAACTACTGGTTGTTTTAATCTGGAGGTGGAGGAAGTATCAATTACCTTTAGCAGAGCTTGCATGGATAATGTGAGTTCACGGTTTCTTACCTTGCCCAAGAATTTAATCTCATTCTCTCATTAAGATTCTGAAAAGTTACTGATCTGACAATACCTGGACATGCTTACATTGCACCTAGGTACACACATGTACATATGTTCTAAGTACAGAAACAGGTGTGCTTCTTTTGCTGCTTCCAGCAGCTTCTCCTCCTCCTAGGTTTTCTTTTTTTTTTGCTTTCTTGGCCTTTCATCACTAGAGCTGATGTTTACCCTCGAGCTGACATTTCAAGTCAACCCACCAGGTGTCCACAGTTCTCTCTCCTGAACATTCCTGTACCAGATGGTGCAAGTAGCCTGGCAATATATTCGGATTCATTGCAAAACCAAACTGCTAGGATGCTGACTTGTTTGGCAAGAAAAGGAGAAAGTTGTTCTAAAACAACTATTATGAATTATCCTTCATGTGGTGACTTTGGACTTGTCCTGGCTTTAAAGATGACTAGTAATTTATTTAACCAAACTAAATAAAAGCTTTTGGAGGAGTTCCTCTATGCAAAGAAGGTTATAGGCAGCAGGGACTTTGTATATAAAACCAGAGACAGACAATAGGAAGTCTAGAAAAAAATTACATCAAATGCAAAATATTAAATTAATCTTTATTTTCTTTTAATCATGCTACTGTTTAGTGAGGAAACATCAGTCTACAACATTGCATATGATTTAGGTAGAGTTTCAGTCCTCTTCAGCAAAAGTTGATGAGGTCTTGGGGAAAAAGGAGCCCTCCACACCTCACCCAACACTCAGGCACGCATAAGCCTCAGTCCATCGGGCACCCTCCCCACTGCCACCACCCTCCACCCTGTCATGTCTTTCTCCTTCTGACTTATTCCACTTAGCTTAATGCCTTCCAGTTTCATCCATGGTGTCACAAATAGCAAGAGTTCATCTATTTTTTTGGTAGCTGACTAGTATTCCATTGTGTTTATACACCACATCTTCTTAATCCACACCTCTGTTGTTGGACCTTAAATTGTTTCCATAACTTGACTACTGCAAATAGTCCTGCAACATAAGAGTTCATATAACTACCCCACCCGGAATTAGGGCTTTTTAATTCTTTGAGTAGATACCTAGGAGTGGAATTGCCAAATAATATGGCAGATCTATTTTGAGAAATGTCCATACTCTTTTTATAAAGGCTGGATCAGTCTACTTTCCCACCAACAATATACAAAGGCTCCTTTTTCCCCACAACCTCATCAACATTCTGGTCTTTTTGATATGAGTTATTCTCACAGATATGGTGCTATCTCATTGTGATTTTGATTTGCATTTCCCCATTGCTAAGGAATGATAACCATTTTTTTTCATGAGTCTTTTTGTGTTTTGTGTATCTTAAAGAAATTTTGTAGTTGACTAAGTGGTAAGAGTAAACATTTGTTTTTTTTTTAATTTTTTACTTCCTGATAGTTTTCCAAAGTCCCTAACATAAATTATTAGTAGTAATACTATCATCCTATAATATTAAGGAATAATTTGTTACTATGTACTTTTGCCCATTTGGAAGGGCAACTTTGAAAATGCAATGGAATTCTATTGGGCAAATCTACACAAGCACACATGCACGCACACCCCTAAATGTTTTCTTCATAATTAGAATTAGATATTCAAGGTCCCTATCACTTCCATTGCTCCCCCTGACATAGAGCAAGTCATTTTGAGATCTGCCATCTACTTGCTTTTCCAATAAGCTCTTTGATACCTTGGCTATATAGGTTCAGCCACATCCATTTCCTACCCCAAATTTCAGTCATCAACCACAGACTTCTGGAATGAGTTATGATTCCAGAAACACAGGAATTGAGGGGGCCCCTACCCCTTCTAATACCCCTCCAGGTGCCCCTAGACTTCTGTTTTGAGGCTCCTGTTTTCCTGGTGGGATCCTGGCCAGCCACTTTCCAGGGTGATAGAAATTCTACAGCCAACATCCCAAAAATATGGTTTCCTTTACCCAAAGTGGCCAGTACATTACAACCCCAGCATTGACAGCTGAGTACAAGGGATAAAGAGAAAATCTCAAAAATGGCCAAAAATGTAGTTACATAAAAAGCAACAAAGGTAGGATGACAGCAAATCTCTCATCAGAATTAGTGCAAATGAAAAAAGAATGTTGCAACATCTTTAAAGTACTGAAAGAAAAAGAAAACTGTCCCCTTGGAATTCTGTGGAAACATCTTTCAAAAACAACAGTGAAACAAACACTTTTTCAGACATATAGACGTTAAAAGAATATACCACCTACCAAACTAACTGTAAGAAGTGTTAAAGAAAAATCCTTCTGGCATAAGGAAAATGGTGACAGATGGAAATATGGAACTATATATAGGAATGAAGCACAATGGGAATGCTACTTTGTAAGCACATAACATGTTTTTATTATTACTTTAGTTTTTTAAAAAAGTGGTAGATGATTAACCAAAGTCAATGTTATACATATACATAAAATGTATGTCAAGAATAGTATGAATAGGGCCTCCCCGGTGGCGCAGCGGTTGAGCGCTGGGTTGTGAAGCTGCCCGTGGCCTCTGCGGCGCCGGTTCGATCCCCGGCTGCTCCCCGGCCACTGGAGGAGGGTCCCACATGGCGCGCAGACCTCTCCTGCCGTCCGCTGCTCCCCTCAGCAGTGTACTTCGGTCCTTCTGCCTGTTCTGCTCCCCGCTCTGGCTCTGGTGAATTCTCTCACCCTCCCACGCTTCTGACTGTACCCAGTGCATGTATAAACAAAAACAACAAACAAACAAACAAATAAATAAATAAATAAAACATGCCTCTATTAAAAAAAAAAAAAAAAGAATAGTATGAATATTGAAAAGTGATAAATATAAGTATACACTATTGATTTTGCAATTCATCAAGTGGTCTCATATCGCTTGAAAATAGATGTGTTAAGTAAATGACATATAGGGCCTCCCTGGTGGCGCAGCAGTTGAGCTCTGGGTTGCGAAGCTGCCCGCAGCCTCTGCAGCGCCAGTTTGCTCCCCGGCCACCGGAGGAGGGTCCTACATGGTGCGCAGACCTCTCCTGTCGCCTGCTGCTCCCCTCAGCAGTGTACTTCGGTCCTTCTGCCTGCTCTGCTCCCCGCTCTGGCTCTGGTGAATTCTCTTACCCTCCCGCGCTTCTGACTGTACCCAGTGCTTGTATAAATAAATAAAAATAAATAAATAAATAAATAATCTTAAAAAAAAATAAATGACATATATCATGAATTTAAAAATAACCATCAAAATAATAAAGAGTTATGGCTAAGAAACAAAAGCATCCAGCCTGAAGATCACTGGGTGTGACAAGGCAGTGCCACTCTGGAATTGTAAAAGTCTAAGTAGCAGGACAGAATTCCTAATCCACCGGTGTCAATGCTTTAGGAACGATAATCAGCCTTTGGCACAGCCCTTGCCCAGTGCCCTACATCACGTAAAGGGGCATTGTCTTGGTGAGTCAGATTGCTGAGTCAGCAGAACTAGCTCTTCATGTCAGTCCTCAGCTAAATGCTAACAACACATCATTAACAAACTGCAAAATCCACGTTTCTCCTTCTGATATTCAGCACCAAACTGGAAAATGTTCAAAGCCAACTCTCCCAAATCCAATAGGACTAGTCCTTATTTTGCATTATTGCATACCACTGTTGTAGCATAATTGATTCTCTTAATGCCTCCAAAACTTAACATCCACACACGAACTTTAAACATCTCCCTGTGTCTGTTTTGTCTTTTATGTGAAACTTCCTCTTGCTATTAAATCTAAATGAGATAAAAGTTTCCTTCTAAATTTACCAACAAAAAGGCAAAAAAGCTAACATGTATCAGGAACAAACTATTTTTGTGTGGCAAAATAGCACCCAGCACTTTCTAATGGGATGTTACATTAGAGACATGAAAATTCCTCATGTGATGGAGCCTAAGTTCTGGAAATTTACTGTCAATGGAAAGTTCTCTCTCCACTGTAAAATCTTTTCTGGCACTACAGAGAATCCAGTGGGCTGTGGCTGTCTTCACTGTCTTCACTGTCAAATATTGTCCAAACATTTAGAGAACTCTAGAGAGGGATTCCTTTGTGAAAGGAACCTCCCAGAATGGGAGGCATGCCCTACTGTGGAAAACGCCACTCCATTCTTCTGAGAAGTGTAGTGAGATATCATTCATTTGACTTTCACTGATGAAGATGGCTGTTTATTTAGTCCATCTTTTCCTCCTATTGTTCAAACCGCTTTTCTGTTTCTTCCATTTCAACAGAATCCTTAACTTTAAATTAAATTCCTGCATCCAGGCAATGGAACATTATTCAGCACTAAAAAAAAAAGAAAGAAAGAAATGAACTATCAGATTATGAAAAGACATGGAGAAATCTTAAAAGTATATTAGAAAGTAAAGGAAGCCAATCTGGAAAGGTTACATACTGTATGAGACACACTACATATTAAGGCAAACTATGAAGACAATAAAAATGATCAGTGGTTAGGGCCTCACTGGTGGCCTAGGGGTTAAGTATGAGTGCTATAACCACTGTGGCCAGAGAGCTGGCCCACCTATGGCACAGCAGACCCCTCCTGTCTCCCCATAGCAGTGAATTTCAGTAGATCCACCTGTTCTGCTCCAACTTTGTCTCTGGTAAATACACACACACACACACACACACACACACACGCACACATGCACCTCTGGCCTGCACCCCAGTTCTTCTATGCATAAATAAATAAATAAATAAATCTTTTTTGAAAAATAAAACAAAAATTGATCAGTGGTTTCAAGAAGGCAGGGAAGAGAAAGTTGAAAAGGCAGAACCCAGGGTTTTAGGGCAGTACATGCAACTGTTCTCAATTATACTACCATGCTTCATATATCAATATACATTAGTCCAAATGCTTAGAACACTTTATACCAAGAGTAAACCATGGTGTAAACATGTAGGTGTAAGTGTCAAGATTCAACCATCATAACAAATGCACCACGGTGGTGCCCAAAGTTGATTGTGGTGGAGGTTAATTTCTATAGGGACAGAGACTGCCTAGAAACTCTCTATACTTCTTGTGCAATTTTGCTGTGACCCCAATACCCTGGCCGAATAGCTCTAAGGAAATAGTTCAGTGTTGAAAAAATAAATGTCCCAAAAAGAGACCCACTGAGTGTGCTTATCCAGAAGAATATTTTTTTCTGTTTTATTGGCTCCTTCCAATACCTTTCCTATGCAGGAGAGTCTTTGAATACATCTTTCAGTTCCTATTTTTAATTGCAATAACCTATACCATACCTGGTCTAAATATAAGAACTGTGGCTGAACTAAGAATGGGTTAGACATACCTTGCTTGATTCACCCTCCTATAAGTGACGATGCTGTTTCCAAAGAGAATAAACATAATGGGATTCCATTTTAATCAGTGTAATTGTTGCTGCCTTAGTACGGAGCTATCACATCTTATTCACAGATATCAATTTCATGGAAAATAAATTGCAGTAGGTAAAAAGTGCCTCGGAACAACCTCATTAAAACATTCCTGGACCACCACACATTATACTATTAGTTGGCATGGACAACCTTACCCAGAGCACACGGGTCCTCTTAAATCCAGACACCCTCCAAATCAAGCTGAAATTTATAGAGCTAAAAAGGTTTCTTGCCTCACTTCTGCCTCTAGATCCTGCAGGATAGTCAGCCAGCTTACTCATGCCTCCAACACAATAAAAATCTAAGACTTTTAATAAACTATAAAATTAACCAAAGCTTTAAGATAAATTGATATTGAAAGCATGCAGCAATTACAAAAATCTTCCAAGTAGATCTGGGTGTAAGCAAGCCAACCTTTTAAGATTTGACTAGAGTGTGAAAATGTCTTTTCCAGCTCTGTGGACATGATGTTACCTGCCTCGCAGAACCGTGAGGGAGTAGGGGGAATCCCAAGAAAGATATTAGGTTGATGTTAGTTCTAGGCTGTTTCTGTGTTTTCGGCAAGTATTTCCTAATGATTTCTCTACTTTCCCTTTGCTTTTTTTAGCTTTCATTTGAGCATGGAGGGTGGGGCCCTTTTCCCCTTTGGCAGTGGGTTCTCCAGTCTCAGGCAATAAAACCTTGGACCTCCCTGACAGAGCGACTCCCTCCCTGTTTGATGGCCCTCTCACTTTTCTATCCTTAATCACACCCTCCCCCCAGCACACCCACATACAGTTTATAAAAACAGAGGCCAAGCAGTGTCCTGCAATGGATTAAGCCAACCCTAACCCTCCCTTCCTCTGTCCGTGGGGACTTTCATAGCCTGATAATCCAGAAACAGAAATAGACGAATGCTCAGAAGCAGACCTTGGTGTTCTAGCTGCAGGCTTAATGCTTTGACTTGAGCAGTTGTTTTATAATTAATTTGTTTCTCTGGCATTCACCCAAGTGCTGGCGAAAAGTAAATCATATTAACATTTTATCTTCATGTTGCTGCCCTACCTGCTGCATTATTTGGCACCTTGGTGGAAGCCCATGCCATTTGCACACCGACTGGAACACTCTGAGTCGGAGTTGTAGGTGGTCTCATACCTGGTTCTCAAGCCAGAGCACCAGCAGCTGTTATTGTAAAAGCTGATTTTGAGTAGGTCTAATTTTGTTGACACATTTCCATGGTGCCATTTATGAGGTAATGTTTATGGCTTGTGACCATGTGAATTGCTCTGTACCTGACTGAAGAAATAAAAATTTCATAGCATCATCAACCAGCTTTTTTTCATGTAGAATACACACCCACCCACGCGATCCTCCCACATTTAAATTTGGTCACAAAACCAAAATCCAAAAATATCAATGCGTTAGCAAATGAGGCACAGCCATGTCCTTGCCTCTGCCTCATATATTTTTATCTTAAGTTTCCCAGCAGTTTGCAAGCTGTACTTGTGTCAGCCCCCTGTGCCAAGGGCTACATATATCCTGGGTCTCCTACCTTCCAAGGGTGGATAACTGTGAAATATCCATGCAGTGAGGATGGAATAAACGGCCCTCCGAAACTGAAATGATCCAACAAAAATTAATAAATCAACACTGTACCCATTTTGACTTGATATCTGAAGTGGAAGTCTACTATTCTTTTTTTTTTTTAAGATTTATTTTATTTATGCATGCATGCAAGAGCTGGGGTGTTGGCCAAAGGTGCAGGCGGGGACTGGGGGAGTCAGTGAGAGGATTCACCAGAGACAGAGTTGGGAGCAGAACAAGCAGATCTACTAAATACACTGCTAAGGGGAGCAGAGGGTGAGACAGGAGAGGTCTGCCGTGCCCTATATGAGTCAGCTCCCTGGCCAGGGATTGAACTCACGTTGCAGTGGCTACGGATATCTTCATAGTGCTGAGATTTAACCCCTACGCCACCAGGGAGGCCCATCTACTGTTTTTAATGTGTAATCATATAGAGGATTGGACAACAGGTCCCCAAAATAACAGTGAAAAAGTCTCCCAATGCCAGATATTTTAAATCTAAGCTACACAATGTGAACTCCATTGTAAATTATTTTATATGTTTTTAATGTCACCTCTGGGTTAACCAATTGAGCGTAGAATTTTCTAAATTCTAAATGATTTCTCAGTTTCTAAATAAATTTCTAAAATTTCTAAATCCTACACACGTGACATAAAAAATATTTGCCAAGATGTTTGTTTCTTCACCTCCAGTGATGTGGATTATACTCCTGAAAAATTCCAATAATAAAATGCCCCTGAGACAGATCATAGGACATTGTCATGGTTCAAAGACTTTTCAACGCTGCTTCTAGTAAGTCATGACGAAGTGTTAACTAAGATCCATGAACTTAGTCCTTACCTCCTGGCACAGCACCAGTTGCATACCACCATAAAAGTTTTTCAGATCATGACACTAAATTCCTTATGCAGACTCTGGTTGTTCAATTTCTGTGCAATACTATGCATTTCCACAAAAAAAAAGTCTTCCTTTCCTCTCCATTTATCCACCTCATTAGCATTCCAACCCAGGCCCATGTTGCTTATATTTTGCATTTTACATAAGAATGACCAAAACAAAGAGACACCCTACTGATTGGGAGAAAATATTTGCACTCCTTACAACTGATGAAGGACTGATTTCAAAGATCTACAAAGAGCTCACTCCACTCAACAAAAACAAAGCAAACAATCAGTCAAAAAATGGCAGAAAAGCTAAAAAGACATTTCTCCAAATAAGAAATGCAAATGGTCAACAGGTATATGAAAAAATGTTCAACATCACTTATAATCAGGGAAATGCAAATCAAAACCACAATGAGGGCCTCCCTGGTGGCACAGTGGTTGAGAACGGGGCTGTGAAGCTGCATGCAGCCTCTGCACCACCGGGTCGATCCCTGGCCACCGGCGAGGGTCCCACATGGCATGCAGACCTCTTCTGCCACGCCCGCTGCTCCCCTCAGCAGTGTATTTTGTCAGTCTGCCTGTTCTATTCCCTGCTCTGGCTCTGGTGAATTCTCTCACCCTCCCTCACTTCTGACTGTACCCAGTGCTTGTATAAATAAATAAACAAATCTTTAGGGGGGAAAAAAACACACAATGAGATAACACCTTATACCAGTGAGAATGGCCCATGTTAAAAAACTGGCAACAACAAATGCTGACAAAGATGTGCAGAAAAAGGAGCCCTCTTACCTGCTGGTGGGAATGCAAACTGATACTAGCACTATGGAAAACTGTGTGGAGGATCCTCAGAACACTAAAAATGGAGCTACCATGTAATCCAGTGTTTCCACTCCTAGAAATCTACCCAAAGAAGACAAAAACATCAATTCAAAGGAAACCTGCATACCTGTGTTTACTGCAGCACTAGTTACAGCAGCCAAAATATGGAAACAACCCAATTGCCCCAAAACAGATGAGTGGATCAAGATGTCATCTATATACACAATGGAATACTATTCAGCAGTCAAAAAAGATAAAGCCATGCCATTTTCAGCAACATAGATGGAGCTGGAAGGGACTATGCTCAGTGAAATACATCAGAAGGAAAAGGAAAAATATCAGATGGCTTCACTTATAGAAGGAATATACAGGAACCAAACAACAGATCAAGAAAAAAAATAAACAAAACCAGCAGGCAAAATATAAACTGGAGATATTCTGCAGGGAGGTTGGGGGGGTGGGAGAGGGATCAAAACAGGGGAAGGAAGTGCACAAGAGACTATGACGATGGTTCACAGGTGATTTGGTGGTGGGAATTTTACAGGGACTACACCTGAGAGGAGAAATCAAATACTGTACAAAAATGAACAATGTTGTAAAATATGTATGTTTTTTTAAATAAATAAATACAAAGAATAAAGCAAAGTATTCCATTTGTTAGAAAGGCTAACAAGGAGCAAAACATACATGCAATTACCCAAGTGTAGACCATATTGCCAGGTTCCTGAAGTATTAGTTCTACTCACTTGCAAATTTGTTTACTCTTTCACTTTCGCAAAGAGGAATCATCAAGAACTTAGTCCATTATTCCCTTTTGGGTTCTCTATAGAATGTCCCAGATTGAAAAAACAGAACCAAGTACTTAGAAAAGTTTTTGTTTCACTCAGGAACAGATATGATTCCCTAAAGAAACAGCTTCCTATATACCCTGGAGTCAAATTCCCTAGTTTCAAAACCCAGCTCACCAGTTACTACTTGTATACTTGTGGACAAATCATGCAACCTCTTGGTGCTAGTTTTTCCTCATCTACAAATGAGAGTTGTTGTGAAAGTCATAAGAGATTGATGTGTAAAACAATCAAATGATTGGTCTGAGTGGATATTCTTGCCTTGTACCTGATCTCAGAGGAAAAGCTTTCAGTTTTCATCATTGAGCATGATGTCAGCTATGTGTATGTCATATAGGGCCTTTATTAGGTTGAGAATTCTTCTTTGATCCATATTTTTAGGCAGATTTTATCACAAATGAATATTGAGTCTTGTCAAATACTTTCTCTGCATCTATCAACTACTTTTTATCCTTCCATTGTTGATGTGGTTAATTACATTGATGAATATTGTGTGGTTTCATTATTTTGCATGTGGTTGTCCAATTATCCATTTATTAAAGAGACTTTTCTTGCTCCATTGTATGCTCCTGGCTCCTTTGACATGAAATAGTTGTCAAAATACATGTAAATTCATTTCTGGTCTTTTAGTTCTTTTCCATTGATCTGTGTGTCCATTTCCATTGATCTGTGAATGTTTTGATTATTATTGTTTTGTAGTATAATTTGAAGTCAAGGATTTTGATACCTCCATTTTCATTCTTTTGTTTCCAGATTATTTTGTCTATTGGGGACCCTTAATAGTTCCAAATAAATTTTGCATTTTTTATTCTACTACAAAAAGAATGCCCATTGGGTTTTTGATAAGGGTTCAATCAATATATTGGTATAGGTATTATGGCCATTTTACCAATGTGAATTCCTCTAATCCATGAAACATTAATTAATTTTCATGTTTTTCTGTCTTCTATTTCTTTAACAATGCCATAGCTTTCAATGCACAGGTGTTTAACATCTGATAAATTTATTTATAGGCATTTGATATTTGTGTGCTTGTGATTATTAATGAAATTGTTTTCCTGATTCCTCTTTCTACTGGTTCATTATATGAATATGGAAATACAACAGATATTTTATATTAATTTTGCAGTTCGCCACTTTACTATATTTGTTTATTATTCCAACCAGTTTTTTGCTTTGGGATTTTCTATACATATTATCACATATTCTGCAAATAGCAATAGTTTTACTTCTTCCTTTCTAATGCGGACACCTTTTATATGCTTTTCTGGTCTACTTGTTCTGGGTAGGACTTCCAACATGATCAATAGTAGTGTGAGTGAACACCTTTGTCTTCCTCCTGCTAGTAAAGAAACATATCAGTTTTACAACATTGAGCATGATATTGGCTGTGGAATTGTCAAGTTTAACTGTTATACTTAAGGCACATTCCTTGTATGCCCATTTTGTGGAGGGTCTTTATCATAAAAGGATGTTGAATCGTGCCAAATGCATTTACTTTGCCTATTGAGATAATCATATCATGTATATCCTCCCTTTTGTTGATATGAGGTATAATATTTATTTATTTGTATATGTTGAAGCATTCTTGCATCACTGGAATAAATCCCACTTCACTATGGTGTATGAACTGTTTAGTGTATTATTGAATTCAATTTGTTAGTATTTTGTTGAGAATTTTTGCATCTGTATTTATCAGAGATATTATCTATATTTTTCTTTTTCTTTCTTTTTCTTTTTTTTTATGTCCTTGCCTGGTTTCAGAATCTGGGTAATGTTAGCTTCATAAAATGTGTTTGGAAATTTTCATTCTGTTTCAATTTATAGAAAAGCTTGAGAAGGATAGGTACAAATTCTCTTTGAAAGTTTGGTAGAATTCGTCAGTATGCCATCTGGTACTGGAGTTTTGATTTGGGGGAAAATTTTTAACTACTGTTTCAATTTACTTAATTATAATCAGTCTATTCAGATGTTCTATTACTTTCTGTTCAGTCTTGTAATTTAGTATGTTTCTAAGAATTTCTTCTATATTGTCCAGTTTGTTGATCCCTTTTATTTCTTTAGTATCTATTGAATATGGCTAAAGATTTGTCTATTTTGCTTATCTTCTCAAAGAACCAATTCTTGGTTTCATCAATCTTTTTGTATTGTATTTTCCATATCTATTTTGTTTATTCCCACTCTAGTTTTTATTATTTCCTTTCTTCTCCTAAATTTTTACTTTTTCCTTGTACATTTAGGTGTAAGTTTAGATTTTTTTTTTATTTTTGTTGTTGCCTAAGGTGATCTGCAGCCTCTAAAATGTTTCCCTCTTAGTACCACATTTTCCTCATCCCAAACATTCTGAAAATCCTCATTGTCATTTTCAGTCACCTCCAGGTATGTTATTTTTCCTTTGATTTTCCCACTGACCCAATATTTGTTTGATAGCATTTTGTTTGGCTACAAATATTTCTGTCCAATTTCATATA